CCCCCCCCCCACGCCAGGAGAGCCACAACAGTCTGCCCGCATGCCGGGCCCATGCGCCCGTAAACCCTAGATCCCCTGGGGCGGGTGGGTTTTAGTGGCATTCTTCCCCGTGTGAACCTAATCATATGTGGGGGAACTGGGGGCGTGATTTCGAGTTGCACGCGCCTCGTCACTTGCGCGGACAGAGTCTCGGACACTTCACAACACCCCCCACGGGGGCAAGATGGAAAGGGAGAGATTGACGCGCCCATTCCGCGGGGGAGAGGGGGAGAGGGGGAGCGTGCGTCCATCGGCCAGAGGTGCATTGAGTTCCCTCCGTCCGGGCATTTTGGGCCAGGCCTGGACAAAGAAATGGTCGCCGACAATCTCCCCAGCCCCCCCCCCCGGGTGTCCGCGGGCACAGGGCCGCCGACCGCGGGAGACCTGGTGTGAGCTGCGCGCACCACCTCGAGCGGGCTGGTGCGGGGTGTCCTCCCTCGGGCCTCGCTTTTCCGCCGGCAAGCCAAAGAGAGGGGCTTGAGGGGAAGCGAAGGCGCGCCGGTCGGCGTGTGTGCCGCCACCTTTGAGCGTGAGGGAGGCGGCGGCGGTCGCCGGGCAGGAACTGCGTCGCCGCAACCACAACACCGACATGCGTCGGTCTGCATGCGAAGCTCACACAAAGACCGGGCCTGCCCGCAAGACAGAGGATATGCACCTGGCGGGAGAGCACGAGCGGCATGCTGCACTCTGGCGCCCCATAACAGAGGGGCCTGAATTGCTTCGAGGGACGTGCTCTTGCTCCGCTGAAGGGGGCTCGGCCGCGCAGCCGGCCCGGGTGGGAAGAAGCCCACCAACACATGGTGCCCCAAGTCCCGCCCCCGCCAGATCCAAGAGGCTCCTCAAAGAGGGCCGCGGTGGACAGGCGTGCCGCGTGCGGATCGCCGGGTCGAGAAAGGCCTTAACCCTGGAGAGGCCTGTTGGCTGGACATGGGAGCGCCACGGGAAGGAAGCACACAGCCAAGAGCCGGCGGGCGCGAGGGGCGGCCCACGGAAAAGGGGAAAAAATAATCCAAGCAACATACACACACACCGAATCCCAGGCGTACGCCCCTCAGATGCGTGTTAATTTCCTCCCCACTTGGTGGTCTTCCGGCAACCTCGCCGACAACTTCGCCCGTGGCGGGGGGGGGGGGGGG